CGTAAAACTAAAATTCATGCCAATATTTTTCCATGATTTATAATAATTGGAGTAATGCAAATGCATATTTTCTAAAAAAAGTCAATTTTTAGTGAAATTTTGCCGGGAATGGGGCTTTAATATAATAAAAATACAGTAGAATTGTGTGATTAGATATTCCCTCAGAGAGCTGAGTACTTTGCCTTTAGTGTTTGATCAAATGTTATTATTTATTAATTTGATGGTTTGCTCAACAACAAAAAATGAAATACAGTAAGTCAGAACACATTTTCTATTTTTCTCTTTATTCACTCTATCAGGCACTCAACATACAATATTCATCCACATTGCTTTGATCTGTCTTCTTCGTCCTGCACAAGTAATTATAATCCTAAATTAGAACTTTGAATATAAATACTGTAACAAACAAGTACAAAAGAAGTATAACAAGGCCTTTGTGCATCGATTCAAAAGCACATTACACATGTATGTCACATCTTGTTATTAGTAACATAGGCTTTGAGTCTTTGACATTTACATGTAGAAGTTCTATTCTTTGCAATGATTCCCATCAGAGAATTTGCTAAGCAGCACAATATTTACATCCGCTTGTTAATGGCCTAGTTCAAATCTGTGAAGATGTCACTGGTTGCCATTATCTCTATCTGACAGGAATCCATCAATTGCTGTCATAGTAACAACTTTTCAGCAGGGATGATATTTCCTACGAATAATAACAAAAGCTTCTAGCTCACAAGACCTGGGAGAAAAAAATAATTGAAAATGATTATAATCATGTAAATATCAACTACAATAAACGTAATAAAATAAACATTAACTGAGATGCAGTCACACCCATCGAGTATACTCGTGATAGATAATAAAATATATTTAAAATTAATTAATATCAATATAAATAGTTTCTTACCGAGGTAATCATCCATGAGTGATCCAATTGCAAACTATGAAAGCAAAAACAAACAAACAAAAAAAAAATTATTAACTTTACAGTAATATCAGTCTCGCACATCATCAGATCAATGCAGCTCAGTATACGCAAAACGATCAAAACAAAAATTTAAAAAACTCACAATATCTGAGGCATCTACCCTGGTTCCCACAATCTTTAACCTAATTTCATCCTCCTGCTGAATCACCATATCCTAAATGAATGTTAAATAGAAAATACAAAATCAACAAAACAGAATATTTACATAATATGTGCCTATATGGCACTGGTAAGTAGGCAGTCCGCGGGAGATCCGAGATCTAAAAAATGTTTAAGGACGACTATCAACAAAAGCCAAAGCTATATCTGGAAAAGCATGGGAAGACTTGTTAATTGAGTAGACTCAAAATCGAGGTGGTTTTATTTTCCCCCCTGGCTGTCTTCCCCCATTATTTGAATTTTTCTTATGTATTTCTCCTTCCAGTTTTCCTGATTTTTTTCATCTGTGTAAATA